CTCTTGTGATTACGATAAACTGTGGTTGACTAACTGCTCGTATATCATGTACAATATGGCCTTCGTTAAATCTTCCCCTTCCAAAAAAGAGAGAAAAAAGACAGACACAAGCTCACACTTTGAACTCATGCAGAAGCACTCCCTCAGCAGACGAAAAATAATGTGAATGATCATTGGAAGTTGAGGACACATCCCCCAGTGTGCACTGATTCTTGGACCGCATCCAAATTACGCGCCTACAACCGGTAGTAGCACTTGCATCAATGGGAAGTGGATTTGGCCATGTCCATAGACACAAGAAAAAGTCTTTGCTTGTGAAAATAAGACTGATTTGAGCTTATTGCCACAACCAAAGTCATAGCCACAGAGTACCTATTTTGGACATGGCCACACGTAAGAGTTTTTGACACCAACCATGTGCCTTGATTTTGTCTTTCAACTTCCCAGCCTTTCTTCATTCATTTCCTCCAAACATCTCATTTCGATAATCAGCCAAATCCTGTTATTTGAGGTGCAGTCCTTCCCACAATTCATCCCGGCAACGAATAAGTGGACACTGTCACACTATACTCCAGAGGTCAATTTTCAAGTGCTTTCAAAATTTTCTGTCCAGCAAGATGATGTTTTCCCATTTTTCCAATTTCATTTTACAGAAAAAAAAAAATGAAAATGAGCAGTTACAGTGCGCATGTGGGATGCATCTTAAAATAAAATTACACTTGTTTTTACATGTGAATTCTGCAATGTGCTTAATTTCCTTTAAATTTAAAATTGTCCCACACAGGTGTGCCACAAGTTATCTTGGTGTATTGTCTTAAGCCTCTTTTCAGAAGAGATCTTATAATTTCAACATATTATTTTTGAAGACAAAGGCCTACCCACTTGCCTTGTTTCTCACTATTTAAATTCTCCAACAGATACTTCCAATTTCAGGATTTCATCTATTGACTGTGTGTGCCTTTTCCTTATGGATTCCAATTCTGCTTCCAACCAAATTACCTACCTCACCTTTCCTCATCTTTTCCCCACCCTGGGGATTTATTCCTTTATGTCGGAGAATGATGCAAAAAAAGACAGAAAGAGAGAGAGAGAAGAAACCGTTCCACCCTTTAGCAATCCAAAGGCAATTTGAAACCTTAGATCCCCCAAGACCCCCAAGCTAGTTAAAATGCCGTGTACCACTCCTTCAGCAGAAGTCTTATGTTTGTCGGTGCGCGACGTCTTGCATACAGATGTGCTACAAGCCTCGGCGCATTACTGTGTAAAGGTATGCAGCCTGCCAGATGCCACTTACAAACCATGCTTAAGATTCTCCAAATTAGGACCTAAAATTCATCTCTTTTTTGCGCACATCTATCATTTATCGGGTATGCAATCAAGATTTGCAATCCTGAAGTTCTTCCTTCATGACTTAAGAACGGTTTGAGTTTTGCTCCTGGTCAGTTCACGTCAGTGCCTTCTTGGTTTTCTTGTTTGTCATTTTTTCATCTCCTCGTCATTGCACGGTTGTCTTGTCTCACTGTTTCATCATTGCTTCACCATCTTTCATGCAATTGACGTACTTGCAGCAGGGATTATTTTAAAGGCATACTAAGACCAGTAGGAGTTCATTCTAGATACAATTTATGAAATTTTGAAAAGCTTTTTCGTCCACGTTTCAAAAAGGACCCCTTCCAACTATGGCTTGTTGCAGGTAAAAGGGGACTCTGTTATGGTGAGCATAAGAAATGTATTGCTCAACAAAAGCAGGTTACCAATCAGAACATGATGCGGTAACCACTGCACAAGACTGGTTCTCTGTTAATGTTCACTAAGCAAGTATTATGTGCTCAGCATTTTCTTTAACTTCGCTTAGCAGACTCATGAAGTCATTCCCTAATTGTAGGTCATTTTTCAGATGGGGGTATCCACTTTCATCCAGCATTAAATCTGCTTCATCCCCGATATTTGATTTCTAGGCCTCGTGAGCCCACTTGATCCGTTCCCATCATCCACAATTGTGCCCCCCCCCCCCCACTCCACTCACTTTTCCTCTCAGAATGACTTCAACAGCCAGGCCTAGTTTCACGCAACAGCTTAGCCAGAAATCTGCTAAGCACAGAATCTATTTGCTTACTGATAGCAGGTTACCAACCAAACATATCATGCAATGTATATTACTTTTAACTGGTACCTGGCTGATTTAGCTTGGCACAGAAATCTTCTAAGCATCATTTTCTTCAGAGCAGCTCATCGAATTTTGGCCCCGATGCTCTTGACTTAAGACGCCCCATCCCACAGACACCAGCAAACACTCCCCACAGCCTCTCCAAATATCCCATCTCCCCTCACGTATCCCTCCCATTTCTCTTCCTTGATTTTCCTCCAAACCCCTCCTTTGAAGGTCAATATTCCGTATGGAACACTTCCTTCCCATAGTCCAGGTTAATTTCCTGCCAATCCGTTTGCCGTCCCGGCCCTGATCTTTGCTTAATGCCCATACGCAGGAAATTAGCGCTGTACAATATTGTGTACATCTCGGTGATGAGGCTAGTTGTCAATACACGTGTATGCTAACCTTGCTGGATGCTTTGAGTAAAAGTGGATGACTTTATATTATTGGTTATAGAGGTTTGTTTGTGTTTAGTTTAAAGAATTTGTAAAGTGTTTACCAAAGATTTCTGTAGCTTCTTAGTCACCACTCTACTTGGAAATCTAGGTTATGGACATCTTTTGTGAAAACAATGTGAAAGAGAAATTCAAATACAACTCTCTGCAGGAACATGTAGTCAGTGTAAAGCTTACATGCATTGTACTTGTGTAAATACAGACATATGTGAATGTATTTTCACTTGAAATACACATCTTTGTAGAGGCTGACAAAAGCTGTTCTCATTTTCTTCTTTGACAAAGCACTGGAGGTGAAGGCAATGTCAAATAACTCATCGGTACCAAGAGGCATTACAGTTACATTTGTACATCGCTCACGCATTCTTGACACTTCGAATGTACAATTCCACAGTGTCTGCCTGTAGCCTTCTGCATTGTGTACACATATAAACTGACAGTTACTGGCCTTTTGGGAGCTAATTCAAATATTAGAAAGCCAAGAAATGCTATTCAAAATGCACATCAAAGCTTACTTTCCAAAGAAAAGTATTGTAGAAAAACAGTTACTGCCCCCTTGGGACCAAATTCAAATACTAGAAACTCCAGAATTTCTCTCCAAAATGCAGTCAAAGCTTACTTTCCGAAGAAAAAAATCTGAGCAAAAACAGTTGCATGTTCATAGTGATGTCCCAGTGGACCTTTTCCAAATACTTACAATACGTGCGTCTCTAAACTTACAATGTACTTCCACAAGAAAAATATTAGTGATAAAGTATGCCCCACAATCTTTAGTTTTTTAAGGGGGGCAGGAGGGATGAAGAAATACATCTGTGGTACGTGTGTACGTGATTGGTGCACATTTCAGTGCGCTATTGAGTTGGTACTGTGCGATAATCGATGCATGACCACAGCTGAGGCAGTGGCCTCAAGGGAGGCTAAAGATTTCTAGCTTATCCCCTGGTGGATTGGGAATGATTAATGGTCAGTCTGCATTACTGACCATCAGCGCGCCATTCTCGTGCCACATGCTGCCCACGCTTGCCCACCATTCCTGTCTAATCTCTCTGTAGCCTAGCAGTGTAAAGTCCGACCGCATGTATGCCTAATGAGGGGCAACCGAAGGAATGAAAATGGGTTGCTGAATTTATGACCGACAGCCGGCCAAGAAAAGTGCAGAGTTGAGTCAAGTTCTGATGCTTTCAAAGCCTGTGTAGTGCAGCTAGCAAGCGTAGGTGTCGAAAAACCATTGGTTTCACCCAACTGTAAAATTCACTTGGTCTTTTGGAAGGTACATGTACCGGTACATAGATTGAATTTGAGAGTGCAGTGTCAACAAGGCTGCTTTTAGCAATTTATTGATTACAGAACCTGTGGAATTTGTTGTTTGTTCGTTTCAATAAAAGTACAACCGACATCAAAATTCTTGTGCCATCTAGAAGGTGCATTTCTGGGGCAGACTCCGGTTTAGGGGTGGGGTAGGGGTTAGCAAGCTTTTGATGTGTTTTTCTGCATGATTTTCCTATGCTTTTTTGCTGCCCAATAGGGGCTTTAGACACCCCCCCCCAACTGTAAGACACTAATACAATCACCACACAGAACGTTGCATACTTTGGTTCTTAGTAAAGATGTCAAAAAATACTCTTAAAATTTCTAAGCCAAATCAACGTTTAATTGACCACACAATTAGCACCCATTCAAGACTTAACACCTAGTTGTGGCTTTAACCCATAATAATGGGTCTGGCACCTAACCCCCACACCTGTTTATGTACACTTCACACCTGTTCATTGTGATGGAGAGGTAATCAGCTGGAAGGATTGGAGAGTGTTAAGCCCCTACCCCAGGGCCACTAAAGTGTGCCTCAGTAGGAGGTCAATGGCTTGCGCTGTGTGCACTCCATGGGATGCCCTTTGTTAGGTCAACTTTCTCTTCAGGAAAGTTTTGTTAACATGATATTGATATTCTTATGAGGGTTTCGCTGTCTTTTTGTAATCGCTTCTAATATTCTTCCCTTAGGACAAAACAGAACTTTCAAGTATTACAGTTACACTTACATTGGCTACACCATGTGCCTACACTAGCAGTAAGAAGTAGAAGTAATTTAGAAGAATTAAAAAACTCATAGTTGCTTTTAATTTTGGACAGTTCTAGCACTCAAGGTGTCATGCAGTTTTTGTTTCTTAAAAATGCTTAGCTTGTGCGCTTATAGAACAGAAAAGATTTCACAAAAGAACTTGTAAATCCTTGGGCACAGGGCTCAGTTTATTCCTGAAAGCACTTGACCAGAAGTAAATAAACAAACAGTTTTCTGCGCTCTACCTGTGTGTCTGTGTACACTTTGCTGTGGTTTGGGATCAGTGTTAGTCACCTAATGAACTGTGGCTTATCTATTGTTCCTAGAAAAAAGAAGGTGCTTGTTTGGAAGATTTTGAAACCACAAGACCACAATGCCTGCCTTGTCTTCTGAAGACTCCCCACAAACTGCCCCATGTTGATTGGGAGACCATTGTGAGAGATTATTTTGGTTACATTTTTGGTACAAACCAGTTACCTCTGAGAAGCACAGATGTGAGTTGTTAGCAGTAGGCAAAGTTTGGAGCTCTTTTAGATTCCTAATGTGTGTAGATGTGGAATAAATGCAGCCAGTTTGCTTTGGAAGGAAACAGTTTCCCAACAACTTTTATTTTATGGAAATACATGAATTGTGACTCCATTATCATTTATCGGTTTCAAGGTATGTAGTGCTCTGAATGTAATTTTTAATTTCTGTATAACTTATGCTCAAGAATGTGTTTGAACCATGAATCCTGTCATTGCCATTGTTGTGCATAGTTGTAAGAACGATATAAAAAGGTAACTTTGTTACTAAACAATTGATGAATTGGTGGATCACTAAAAACAGCTTCTGAAGTTATTTTGATTTTGACACAATAATTGGCAAAGAAATATATTTTTTTTGGTTGCTTACTTTGGAGAAAAAAAATCATAACCTACAAACTCATTCAAATGCCGTGTGCCAATTCCTGTTCCAAAATGATGAATCCTAGACAAGATTTTGATCACTCCCAATATATTTGCTCAGGATTTCATGACTCTTTAATGTCTCAAGTTAATGTATTTCATGCATTACAAAACATGGACCTTGCATGGAACCGTTGCTATGGAGTGACAACACCCTATGTTTGAGCAGCAAATTTGGACGCTGTAATTGAGCCCAGGTATCTTGGCATCTTGGTATGATCTGTTGACAAGAAGTGTCACTCTTCTTACTCTGTATATTCCCCAAAGCACACAGCTTCAAGAGGCATGCATCACAAAACACCAAGATAGTGTTAGTGTTCTCCTGTCACCCGTTCAACAAATCATAGAAATTTTGTCAATTTGGAAAACCATAAGGCGCACAAATTAAGCAAACATTTTGGAATTTTGTAACAAACTCCCCACCGTTTTTTGATTACGACTACGGGAGAGATGTTTATTTTTTATCTCGGGAACTCAGATCCTCTGCGGAAAGATGAATTCCGTTGTTGAATCATCGGTCTGCCAAATATGGAAGTTGATTGCGAGTGACGCAAAGGATTGACTCTTCATGCTTGTATGGTTTGGATACATAGTGTTCAACATCTTTAACATGGTACAGTGGAAGTGCACCAATGAAGTATAATTGATTACCGTATGTCTTTAATAGTTCTAAGCCATTCAGTATGCAGTTTGTCAAATCATTTACTTCTCATCTAGCCGGCTGTGCTTGTCAGTCAGGTCTATAAATAACAAAAAAAATCAAGTAATAAGAAGGAACCAAAGGGCTCACTGGTACCTGATTATAAATCGGGGGGGGGGGGGGGGGGGAAGGGGGGATCCGTTGGGCTAAACATTACGTTATCCAGGGATGCAGTCATGATTGTCGCTGCACATCTGGTCTTAAAGCCGGTTCATATACTACAGGAATGGAGATGTGCAAAGCGAATTCGACGTCAGGATTCGCTGTAAAGTTGACGGAATTTAACTGTGTTTTTCGAAATCTGCATTGCGAAAACTTGCCTTGACATAACAAATTCCCATTTGTGTTCACTTTCGCGCCAAGTATGAACCTAAGGTGGGCCTTGGCTATGTTTACTTCGTTTAAAATAGTGATAGATATAATACAGCCTAATGAAACAACTATGCATGCTGACATGCTCCTGAATTATTCAGTTGGCTTAAAATTTCCTGGGTCAAAATTCCAAATGTGAAGTGAACCAATTTAAACTGTGTATACATGTACAGTGTTCCCCATTATTCCGGAAAACTTTGAATAGTGCAAGTCTTCCAGAACTGATACATTCCTCTACAGGGTAGGGGACAGTTTTCCAGCTTTTGAAATACTTGGTCTGAGCAAAACAGAGTACATTTATTTCTCACTTGATGTGTTATCAGTGTTGCGGATGGACTGTTTTTATCGATTGTTCCACTTTGCCTATCGACATGTCAACACTTCAGAACTAGACTTGTCGACACTCACTGCATCAAAAAACAACACTTGATAGCCCATTAGCAGATGGCCATTACAGACCTACACTTGACTTTGGCATTTATAAAAAACTAGCTATTTTATGACAGGGTCAGTTGCATCGGAATGCAGCTATCGAGTAATCAGCAGTGTGCATAATGCCATGATTATGGCTCTTGAGTTTCAAAGGAATATTATAATACAATGTAAATGGCAGTTGCTGGTATGAGATGTTGTATAGCATGCAATGCATGGCTAGTAGAGTGTGATGGTACCAGTAGAGCTGTATATAATGGTCAGTGTAATTAGTTTGAAAGCGTCAACAATTGTAATGATGGAGCGAGTCCAGCTTGCCCAAACTGAAGCGATGTCTTTCTTGGAATGCATTTTCATCATCTTTATGATATTTTCAGACTGTTATTTCATCGCAAAATTGAAAAATTATAATTTTTGTACTTGTGTAATTTTGAATGCATTAATTTCTACTGTAGAGCTGTCCATTATGCAGATTTCTGCTGACCTTTTTGATTTCCTTAAGACTTTTGTTTTGTTTTGGTTATCAACAAGAGAGAACTAATCCCATCACTGATGACTCAATCAGCCAACCTCCATGACCCACAAGACAAAAAAAATAATAAAAGTGCCCATGAAAGATATTTTCAGCGGCAGATCTGAAGAGTCGAGTCTGGTGGGGGTTTATTTTCTGAAGGGATTTGCAGCAGGCAGGAAGTGTTTCCTAGCTCCCAACACCCAATCCATTAACGCTTGGCTAAGTCAGAGAGAGATTTCGAAAAAAAGGGATGGTTGTGTTTGGGCAATCTGGTGACTTGAGGAGCAGTGAAGGAAGAGCAGATGACTGAAGGAGGTTTTTGTCCATGACATACAGAGTTTATTTTTGCTGGGTTTCCGTTGACAAGGGACAGAGACAGTCTTTGTCAGGGTGATAAAGAGCCCTTTCAGACTATATACGTTCTCAGGGGACGTTATTAATATTTTGTTTAGCCTCGTGGGAATTCAAAATGATATGGTTACCCTAATAGAAATCAGAAATCGTTGACACCTTCAAAGCATCCATCCATACTGTCTCTTTGAAATTTTATAGACAAAAATCAACATGTAGTTTACTCTGTACTTGTACATTGGCTGTGTCATTTCTGATGTGTTATGCACTGTAATAATGGACTCCGTGCACCAACAGTAGATGGCGCTATGTAACCACTGTTGAAAGCCCCAGTGAGAGGGGCACACCAACTGCGCGTACTGGTTCACCTGCATATGACGCGAAGTACGCACGACTAATTATATTCTGGATGTGCACAAAGCCATAGCGTCTTCACGTGAGCATCAGGCGTCGTCAGCAATGGGTTTGTATGTCCCTCCCAGTGGCCTCTCTAACTCTCCCTTTGTAACCGTTGAGGGCGTACTTGTGCACAGAGTTTGTATTCATTACATGTACTGGAACAATGCTGTACATGGTTTGGGGATAACAAAGTTCACTAGTGGCAGTTCAAACCTCCTTTTTATGCATGTCATGACCATGCACTCATCAGTTAAGCTGCTAATGTTGGTTAAATGTAGAGTACATCATTTGTCAGTTGTGAATTTGTTTTCGTTTGAAGCTATAAAAGTGCTCAGACTCTAAAGACACATCGTTGAAAAAGGCCTTCTTTTATTGTTTTCTTCAAAATGACAGCATGCCAGAACAAACTTCACAGGGAGTTTAGTGCCATTACCATCTTTTTAAACCAAGTATGCTTTTCAACAATGATTTTGTCAGTTTCTTTTTGGATAGCTGCAAATGATGTACATGTACTCTACCTTTAATTGATTCACTGTACCATTTTTAAGCAGTGCTTTTCATAAAGAGATGTATAGGCTACATGCCCAACTAGATTCGTATACGTCATCACTACTGAAGATATCAAACATTCACTGTCGTCATTGGAGACTCCCAGGTACCACGTGGACAGGTAGTTAAAGTGACATGAACCAGTATGGTGCATATGAAATGATGTTAGTTGATCCCACTATAAAAAAAATGGTGTCCCTCTTCTGTCATTGTCCATAATATAATGCACATTGAAACGACAAGGATGTCGCTTTAAAACCCAAATTACCAACAGTGTAAAAAAAGGTTTAAGATTGATAGCCGCCCCTATTACTTTAGCACTTTGTCATGTGACTTGCCTGGGATGATTCATCCTCATCTTTTCATCCAACCCTTTCATCTCACTCATCTCTCCTCCCATTCTTTCTTCCTTCTCTTCAAACAAAAGCCGAGATTTACGAGAGACAATTATCGCCTGGTCCCAACCACCCTCCCACAAAGCCGTTGTTGGTTTAACAATTAACCTGATTAGTCCACGCTTTCAAAATGTCAATCCAATTTCAATCATGGGTTTATTGACTTGGAACGCTGAATTTGTTCTGGACTATAGATTATTTTTCTTTTGTGTCACGCACGGCTCTGTCATCGACATCTCTGTGCAATGAATTATCTCATCTAACTTATTGTTTAGACAACAGCATAGTGACTTTACTAGCGTAATTTTGTCACAGTTTCCAAAAAAGAAAAGAAAAAAGAACCAGCCACAAGGAAAGGGTTTCTAAAACAAGCTCTTAAGCTCACTGAATCTGTTCTTGTTTGTTAGATCACGGATATATTTCACACACGTCCTTCGTACTTTGTTTCGCGCAGTGTGTTTGTACTTTCCATTACGCTCCGTGTTTCAATTCCGTTCAGATGCCACATCAGACTCTCAAGCGACATGCCCCTGTAACTCATCCCTTAAAAGCATTTTCCAATCAACTGCAAAAACAATTCAATAAAGGCATGACACGCTGCTCTAAACGACGCCCATTAAACTCAATTTTCTCGTATGCATTTAGGGGGCGTGTGAGTTCGTGCAGGATCAGAGTGCGTGCGATGAAATGAAAGGAGCAATATGTCTAGTGATCGACATTCGTGAAAGTGCTTACATTGCGAAAGAAATGATGACTTGTTTAGTATCTAATGCACAGATATTCATATGCAGTAATGCTACATTTAAATTCTACAATTTCCAGAAAAGTTTCAACAGTATTCAGCATGTTGGGGAAAAAATGTTGGAATCTGCCGGACGTATTTAACATCTACAGAGATGTTGTGAAGCGAAAGTCAAATTAAACATGAATTGGTGTGAATAATATTTGTTGGTTGTCGTGTAGACAAATTAAGACCATTAAAAGCATGCAGTTGCCAAGTT